AGTTTTATCTTGTTTTACAAAAGGCTTATTCATGTCAGGGTACACAAACCAAAATCAGTTTTACCGCAGTAGTAGGGGGTCCAGCAGGCTATCAAAAGCTTTTCGTAGCTCATCTGTATGTCTGCTAAACTGTAGCTAGTTCTAATAGCACAGTAATGGACCTAATTTTCTACGTTACTTGATTCTGAGGCTAGGTCTACACTACGGGGGGGGGTCGACCTAAGATACGCAACTTTAGCTACGTGAATAGCGTAGCTGAAGTTGCGTATTTTAGGTCGACTTACCTGGCTGTGAGGACGGCGGCGAGTCGACCGCTGCTGTGCCGCTGTCGACTCCGCTTCCGCCTCTTGCCGTGGTGGATTTCCGGAGTTGATGGCAGAGCCATCGGGGATCGATTTTATCGCATCTTCACTAGGCGGTAAGTCGATCCCCAATAGATCAATTGCTACCCGCCGATCCGGCGGGTAGTGAAGACGTGCCCTGAGTTAAGTGTTTTGCTGCCTTTAGGACAAGGGGTTCCATACCCTGATCTTAATGTGTTCATTTTGCCACCTTAATACTTCTTTCCTAGCCAGAGAGGGAGACAGTCCTGCACATACAAACAGGTTCATTTCTCATTTGGGGCCTGATCCTCTGAAATGCTGACGTCCCTCTGTTCCCTTTGAATCAAGTGATGGTTGAGGGTACTCGGGAGCTCCCAGAAGGCACAAAGCAGATCTCAGGATCAGGCTGTCTGATGAGAGTCAGCTTTGAATTCTGGGTTGTTCTTTGGGTATGTCTACGCTTGGAGCCAGAGGTGTAATGTCCAGCTCCAGGAGACATACCTGCAATAGCTCTGTTCAAGCTATCACACTAAAAAAAGAAGTGTCGGCACGGTGGTGGGAGGTGGCAGCAACCCTGAGTACGATCCTGTCCAAGACTCATACATACTCAGGTGGCTAGCTCAACATGCTGCTGCGGCTACACGCTATTTTTAGTGTACTAGATCAATCCGAGATAATGCAGATATATCTCTTCAAGCTGGAAATTACACCTCCAGTTCAAATTGTAGACATATCCGTTGTGTCAAACCACCTTTCAGCTGCTTTATCGGTTGCCTTGTCTACATGACAAAGTTGCATCAGTTTAACTTAAATCAGTATTTAAACCGATATAGTTAAACTAATGTGAAATCCTGTGTGGACACTCTCTTATTTTGGGTTAGCCTAAACCTGTTCCCAGTAGATTTAAACAAAACTGCTAAAAGCCCAGAGTCCTGGGCAGACACACCCCAAGATCCTGTTCTTTCCTGAACTAATATTTATATTGATTTTATATTCCTTTATACGGACATGAAAGGCCACAAATGGGTTATATCAGTTTTACTATATCTGTTTAAATTATGCGGTGCAACGTTCCCATGTAGATAAGGCCTGAATAGAACCCCAGTATTATTAAAAACTATGCTGTTAAACTGACAGGCTTTTAAAGCTTAAGTTAAAGTTAGCTTCCCCTCTGGAAAACACTATTTTTGTGCAATCTGTGTTTACAAATACTTCCATTCACCTAACCAGTGTGTCATAGTAACTGTTTATTATTATTATTATTTTATTACTATTAAAATTAATAGCATAGGATATGGAAATGCTTGAAACTTTCCTGTAACCTCAATGCTAGTATGTTAGACAAATGTAACTGATCAAATTCATCTAGGGGACTTACAAGGGGTTGTTTGGTTGAGGTTCAGTTTCTGGAGCCTCTAAAGATAAATTAAGGCCCCACTGCTGCTACTTGTGCCCATGTAGTTAATGGGACTACTTGCATGAGTAAGGACTACTCTGGTGATCAAGTATTGCAGGATAAGACTTTTAAATTTGTCATTGAGAATTCCAATAGTTTTTGGACACGTCAGTAGGGCCCAAATTTTCAAAAATACGAGGTATGAAAATGTATGAGCAAAATGAGCGTTCTAACGTGTGTCCACTGTGCAGACTGATTGTGTAATTGTCTACACAGAAATACCCATTTGAGCAAACTATCTTAGTAATACACCTGCACTTTGTGCACCTTGAGTGAAAACTTGGCCCCGTTGAAGTCAAAACTCCCACTGTGGGGCCTGGATTTCATTCCTAATGTGTTTGGAAATCTCGCGGGTAGGTGGCCAGCCTCAGTACAGAGGCCACACGTTTACCGTTGACTCGAAGAGTTCACTTGCTGTGTTCAGACATTGGAACTTTTCTTTTGTGCCTTTTGATCATACCACAGGCAGATGATCCCATCCTTTTCATTTTCAGTGTTAATCTAATAGCTGTCTGTGGAATTCAACGGCAGAAAATCTTCTGTCCACGTATTTTTTCTCTTTATTTATTTAGTTTATAGTTACCACTGGAATGAAAATCCAGTCCCTCCACATCAGGGGTAAATTTGCAGCAGAGAAGAAACCTCCACTCTAAACAGCTGGATTTGATGTGGATTGTTGCCAAGTGGACAGATCTTTTCCTTGAACTTGCTGGAAATACATTTGGAATTTGCCTGCGTTTTAAAAACTAAAACCTGGAAAAAGTATTTGAGAGGACAATATTCAAATCTTGTAGTCGATGGTGATATGAAGCAATTGTAATCATGAAATTATAACTCATAACAGCCTTGTTTGACTTCCTGAATTAAAGTCTCTTGCCTACATTCAGTATTGTGTCCCCTGTGTCTTTGGAATTATTTAGGGAATTTTGCTTATCATCATCCCACTACAATACACAAATAAAGTAAACAAAATACATTTTCAAAAGTAGCTTTTAGGCTTATTCCTCACTCTGTATATTTAAGGTTGTGGCTTATTTGGGGGGTTCTATATAGTGATGCCATTAAAAGGAATAACTTTGGATTTTTGGGCATTCCAGATCTCAGAGCTGTCCCCTAGCCAAGGGCCCGTTAAGGAACGGAAGGACAAGAGAAATAGCAAAATAGGAAATTAAATTAATCCCAAATCTTTTTAAACTTCATATTTCCATTTCCTATAACATATTTTATCTATTTACGTCATAATGGGTAAGAACAGAATCCTAGCATGGGGCAGAGGAGAGTTTAGGTCTTTCATAAGAATCGGGCGAAAGGTCAGGTTTTAAACAAAACTGAAACTACCTGGGTTTTGATGCTTTTGCTTTTCTCCCCTAAGTCTCATTTTTTCCCCCCCTGAATTAAACTTTGCTCTCTGGCCTCGCACACGGGGGTTTAGACCATACTTTTGATCTGACCATTTATTAATACCACAACCGTAAAACCTTTTAGTGATGTCTGTGTATGAGTAGTGCAGTCAGGACACCTCCCCTCCTAAACTGCCTAACATTTTGAGTCAACCTCTATTTCTGGAGTGAGCTTGTGATAACAGAATCGTACCTCTGGTGTAATTCATCTGCATTACAATTCAGGGTGATGCCAGATTGTGACCCCGGGTGCATTTTTATGGGCAAACTAGGTGCTGTGATGGTGCATCCAACTTTTCTGAAAAATCTAGGCCTTTCCTGTTAAAAACCAGTTGGGCGTGAGCATTTTCAGTGACTGTGCAGCAGAAGGTGATGGTGTTCTTGTCAGAGATCATCTTTTTTCCCCAATTCTTTGGCATCGGTTACTTAGTCAGTCTGTGTTCACTCACACACCTCTTCCTCTTTTTATAGCTTCTCCTGAGCGCTTAGAGCTCCATTTATTAATAAAGGGTTTTTTTTCTGTTCAGCATATTTTTAAAGCATTTTGTCAGCCTATCAGGTGGAAGATTGTTAGCATTTGCAGCTCTGAACTATGATGACAATACTCCTTATGAACAGCTGAGGCACCAATTGTAAAGTTAGACTAAAATACCCCAGGGCTAGCATGGGATGGAAATGTACTGATATTCCATAGGTCTATTCTGCACTATGCAGAGCTGTACCACGGATGCACTGGATTCCTGGCAGAAAGAGTGACTGTCACTTGCAGATGGCCCAGTATCGTGGTCACACAGCTGCATAGGTCCTGAAACTACAGGTGCTGGTGGTGCTACCGCACCCCTAGCTTAAAGTGGTTTCCATAATATATAGGGTTTACAGTTTGGTTCAGTGGCTCTCAACACCCCCACAATACAAATAGTTCCAGTGCACCTGCACAGCTGCATGTTCTGTTAGGTTGATCCCTGTACTCATTGGTAAACCTAGTGACTCTCAGTGGACTAGATGAGGCTGACGCTCTGGTTATCTTGGACAATGGGCACTGTACACTGTAGTAGCTGGCATAAAGAGGGGCATTGGTGGTAGGCTTAGCAGGAAATTTAGTTGCTGCTTAGACGCAGGAAGGATGTTTTGGAGCTAAAACTGAACACAACAAGGATACAATGGGATAAAAGTTGGGGAACAGGGAGAATTGAATATCCAGGATAAAAAATATACAGAAAAACATGTAATGTTAAGGCTCACTGCAACCCTATGTATATTGAGCCATAATATGAGGTGAGAGACCACTTGTACTGTCTACCTCTCTGATGTCTGGAAAGAGCCTTGAACTGTTAAACAAGAGAAGGTAAATGTGAATAACAATCTAATTGATTTATCATATTTCTAAGGCCCTCTATTGATGTCTAATCTAGGTGT